AGTTAATTGTATTCATTTTTAATCATTACAAATATAAAAAAGACCAACAGTTAAAACCAATGTTTAAAAACAGCCACATGCACAGCAGTTTGATGACTAGCTGTGTTCTGTAGTGTGCTCTGCACAGATCAAGCACTCTTGATAACTTCATTTAGCGCTTTAGACCAAGCAATAAAAGGGTTTGTGTTTGAGTGTCCACTTCACTTTTGATTGTAGAGTTTGCTGTTCACGAATCGTTTTATGTTGCACCAGCTGAGGAAATAAAATACATCACTGTGATGGGCCCAATCCAACTTCCAGTGAAGTCAGTAGGAGCCTGTCTACTGATGTCTCTGGGAGTTGGTTCAAGCCCCATATTTGTACCTTACTACGTTTTACAAATTTCCATCACCCTATTTTCTTCCTCTTTTCTGTGTTTAAAACTAAAATATATGCCAGCGATATGTGTGCAGCAATTTTGCCAGATGGCACTGGAATCCTATATTTTCAATGAAAAATGAAAAGACCAGACATGTACATAAAGGATGAATTAATCTTTGTAATTAAATGGAACATTATTTGCCATGAACGATTCTAGCTTTCGAACTAGATTTCATGCTAATTTTTCTGTGAACTATAATTGTATTAATTTTTAATTTTTTAGACTTTCCAAAAATAAAAATAATCTTCTTAAGGTTGGTACAAAAAAGCTTTTTCATACTCATGAATTTTAATTTTTGCAGGTATTTCAAAAACATTTTTACAGTAGATACAGTATTATTTCAATGTACAGGGATATGTTAGTGCTTGAAGCCAAGTACTTTTATATCATGATAAAAATGAGATATAATGTAGCACATTGACAATCATGATAGTCTTTCTTTGGAGTTTGTTTAAGCTATGAATATACTCTAGTAAAAATATACATAGATGGGTGTAATTTAAGGTAACTGTAACTTACTTCCACTTTAATGACCCTTTACATTGCCAGGGTGGCTTAAAGGGACCTTAGTGTAAATGAAAATCAGGCCCAGCAATTAAAATGATCAGTGAGAGGGTCACTTGTAATGCTCAGATACCAAGGCATGGTAGAAGAATCTGAATAGAACAGAATGATGTTCTCTTGCTCTGAAACACAAACATTTGACTTAGGCTGGCAAGCCAAGGCAAGTTAATTTTTTTTTAAATTTCATTTTGCATCTACAGCCATCTGGTTTGCAATACACTTGGAATGAATAGAAATGGGGAAAAAATTACGGGTGAAGTCAATAGCAAATCTTACACTGATATCAATTTAGCCAGGATTTTTTTTTCTCTTTCTCTCTCCTTCCCTCTCTCTCTCTCCCACGCGCGCACACAATACATATACTGCAATATGAAATAAATGGTAAATAACAATTGGCTGTCAGTGATATTTAAATCAGTTGTTAAACTTGCTATTAGGAAGCAGATTGTCCAAAGCCTCACTCTTGATTGGCCATTTTGATAGTATCACAGACATGAACCAAATATCTATCAATGGTGCACAACTGGCATCTCACCACTGAAACACATACAAAAAGAGGGAAATGTTAAGAGGTGATAATAAGGGATCTTTGGGGTAGAGGGGATGAGGCTTAGAGGGAAAAAGTGATAGCTCTAAACTGTCCTTTTTTCTCCCACAAAGTGCCAGGCTGCCATTCAGCAGTAATTGGTGGTTTTTTCAGCCACACTTGACCTACAATCCAGCGTATAAACTAAGCTAGCAGCCTCGAATCCCAAATGATTTGGTATGGAAGAGAATGAGTTGAAAGTGGCCATTGGGCCACAGCTGGGTTTCTTTGGGAAAGGATGTTGGAGGAAAGGACTCTGTAGCCAAGATATATCTTGAAGGGCATTTTGTTCAGCCTCAGCCATGGGGAGGTGGCATGGCTGAACTTGTTCCATCTGCCCTTAAATGTAGGATGTTTCTCGCTCCAAAAATGGATGGGTTTGAGAGTCCACCTTGTGTGTGACTAATGGAATAGGTTTAAAATGAGAATAACAGGGTTGTACAGGCTGTCCTCCTATACCTCAGCTTCCTTGGCTGAATGGACAGAGTTCTAGGTCAGAAAAGTTTTATGGTTCTGAAAGATTTTAATGTCTATGCAGATGAACTCTTCAAGGTGAAATCAAAATCTCTGAGTGGGGCAGGGAGGAGAGCAGTATGCGCTTGTCAAGATCAGACCATTAACACCTCTGGTTTGAGGCTAGGGTCCACCTTTGCTCCTCTCAGCGTGATGACTATGCTTGATTGACCTGCTCACTGAGATTGCTGGGCCTAAGATGGTTTCAGAATTCTGTGAGGTTTACAGCTGCGAAGGCTCTGGAAGGTAGTCTGAAAAATGCCAGTGTTTTTAAGGGATACTATCATCTAGTGTACTTTTTGTTATTTGCCTAAATATATTTAACAATGTTTTTGATCCACATTTTGTGCTGATTGCAGCTTTCAAAGTCAACGCAGTATTGGAGCAGTTAATCCACATTGATTCTTTGAATTGTTTTGAAAAGGGCAATTGTTCATCAGCTATTATAAATTATTTTGTTTCTTTTGTTGGTTTAATCAAAAATGTTAAGGGCTCAATTATGCAGATGCAACACAAAGATTGCTTAATTAAGTGATTAAAATGATTACTTTGGAATACATGCAAGACATTTGAGACTAACCTAACTCATTTAAGCAGGCAACTTAGTGGAAATTAAAACTGATGAGTTTTCCTACTTGCTTTCTTGAGACTGATATAGTAGCAAATAGCATTGAAAACCCTAAAGTAATGTACCAAAGTTTTCCAATCCATCACAAAAGTTCAGTCAACTGGACAAAACAGCATAAGCTGGACAAAACAGCATAAGCAGGGCAAAAAATAGATGCTGTCTACAGCTGAATTCTGGTTCTTTCCTGTTTTCTCAAGCATTTAAAAAAAAAAATCTTAAGTACCTGCTGTGCCTCATGAAAAACTAAGAAAACATTCTATTTTACAAGTAATTTGGCTCATTTCATATTTCCTGTAGAGCATTTGTCTTCTATTGTTTTTCTATCACTGGGGATATTTGTATGACAATGGGATCCTTCTTGCTGAAGAGTTCATCTGTTCCTGCTGTTAATTTCTAACCTGAAGTCGTAATCTTCTGTTTGTGACATCTTAATTATCTCTACAACAATTAATTGTGATGTCACTAGTAGAAGACAATAACTTCAACTGGGAAATAAGCCCTAGGAACAGATTAACTCTCAAGAGACACAGATCCTGTTTTTTTGAAAATGAGGGAAGTGAAAAAAAGGATGTTGGGGGGGAAAACATTGTAGCATTGCTTCTCCCCATCACATAGACACATAGATTTTAAGGCCATAAGAGACCATCATGATAATCTAGTCTGACCTCCTGCACATTGCAGGCCACCGAACCTCACCCACTCCCCTCCCGTAATAGACCCCTAACCTCTAGCTGAGATACTGAAGTCCTCAAATCATGATTTAAAGACTTAAAGTTACAGAGAACTCACCATTTACACTAGTTTAAACCTGCAAGTGACCCATGCCCCATGCTGCAGAGGAAGGTAAAATAAATCAATCAATCTAGGCAACCACTGCAGTCAAGGGGCTCCATATGGGTGCAGGGGTACTCTCACACAGATCAGCATGCAGGATTGGAGCCTATATGCTGAAGATGGTTTATTTTGAAAGGGCCATGTAGTTCATTAGGGTTCTCCTCTTTCAGCCTCCACATGGTCTCAGATTTTTGTGTTGAAAGGATCACATTACTAGAGGAAAGTTTTAAGGAAAAGTCCTATAGTCCTAAAAGGTAAATTGATATCTGTCTTCCTAAACAACATGGAAATATACATTTTATACCATCCCACTCTATCCCTTTTAGCTTATTCCATGCATGTGTCTTATTTTGTTTGGTTTCCCCCCTCATCTTTTAGACTTTCTCTCTCTCTCTCTCTCTGCTTTTGTTCTAGGAAATAAATTGTTTCCATAGTAACTATGGATGGATGTCCTTGGGGTGCAATCCACAAATGTATTATAAAGTTAGTTTATGTAATTGTTTCCAATTTGTATCATGATTTTATGAAACGTAAGTGCAGGCATAACAGTTACCCTGGCTGAAAATGTATGTGTGTGTGTGTGTGTGTGTGTGTGTGTGTGTGTATATATATATATATGTGTGTGTGTGTGCATACATAAATATGTTTTTTGTGTGTGTATACATATATATATATAGAAGATGTACTGTATATAAACACTAAGGCAAATTCTCACAAATGTGAAACAGAATAAATCCAAGTTAATGTAAAAATGTGAATTGCATTATTTTAATGTTCCTATCGCCTTTGTATTGAGCATAGGAACACACAGGATTCTGTGCTATTATTGGGAACAAGTATTTTAAGAAATGGAGTCTGTTAAAACAGAGGTGGAGTGGAAAGACTTTAATTAGACAGCTCAGGTAGATGAGCAAAACAGTTCAACAGCATGAACTGAAGAAACCACATTCTCCGTCAGAAAACCGTAGCCACATCCTTGTCTGGTGAGACCTATTTGACGTCAGTGGAACTATGCTGTGTTTATCCCAGCTGAGGTTCTGACCTATTCATATCCATGTCCCGCATACATCTGAATAACTGGGCTTGCTTCATCTGTCCTATAGTAGTTATACAGCTCATAGGATGTTAAAACACTAAAAAGATATAAGTTGTGACCATTAGATTAACTTTGCTTGCAATTCTTAGTGGGGTTCAACTCTTAGGACCAGATTATGTGCTCAAGCACACTTGTAATTCTGTAGTAACTCTACAGGAGTCGGTGGAGCTACTATGTAAACTGACAGCTCAATGTGGCCCTCAGTGTTATAAACTAAAACTGATTTGTTGCACCTAAGCAAGCTGTTTAAGGTGAAATTCGGGTGCCATTTGAGATGTATAGTACTGTGCGGTCCTTTCAATGAGGGAAGAAATGCATTTTTAAATGCTTAAACCATCCAATTTTTTTTCTTTCAAAGGCAAAAGCGGTTTTGGCAAAAGTGGGCTACCCTGAGTTTATAATGAATGACACGTATATTAATGAAGACATCAAAACAGTAAGTGTACAGTATATAGTTTTCTTCCTTTACAGTATGTCACAACTGTTTTTTGGTCTTTTCCTTTCAGCCATCGAAAATCAAAACAGTTACATCATTTTTAAATAAAGGTGGTGGTGCCAGAAAACACTTACATTTTTTCCCTTGCATGGCACACTTTGCTTGTGGCCTTCTGCTTGATTTGCCCCATTCCATTATGATTCTGAATTGAGCACACTCTCAAGACTGAAATCTTAAAAGAACAATAAAGTTAAACGCCCGGTCTCGGTGCCAACTTTGCTCAATTCTTTCCTTTGTGATTAAGCTTTGTGATGGGGTGGATAAACCCCATGCTGACAGGGAAGGATATGGGGAGGTTGTGTGCGCTAAGGTAGCCCTGCTTCTCTGGTCCTGACATTCATGCATGGTAGCGAGGAGGGCTATAAAAGGAGGAAGCTGCAGTCAACAAGGGGGAAGCCATGAGAAGGGAGTGGCTGCTGAAGCAGTAGGAGGAATCCCCCCATGCCAGAGATCCCCCAGCTCTGCGAGGATCCATTGAACCCTAGTGGCAAGCCCAATAGGGAGAGACTGAAGTGGCTGCCTGCCTGGCCGTAATGACTCCAGTAAAGCTGCTACCCAGGCACCACTGTAGGAAGGTGGTACCACTGACCTTTTTGCTAACCCCAGGAGGGGTTTGTTCTCTGATTCTGAACTTCTGCTTTTCCCGTTCCCCTAAATAAAGTAAGCAGGCCCACAATGGTGGGGCCCACTGCAAGGACTAAGAGGTTGGGGCCTGGGATTGGGCCGAGCCTGTGATGGTAACTGGGTGTGGCAAGGGGCCTCAACCAAGCTAGGGAGACTCTTTTTACAACATGCCCATTGGAATATTTGTTTTACAATAACATTGTGTATTATGTATAACTTGGCCAATACAACAGATTGATTATTGTGATGCTGCTTAATCCCCATCACAATCAAGGCAAGGGAAATAACCCTAACAAGTCATGCTCCACACATAGCGAAGACCCAGGAGAGAGGAGATAGGGAAGTTTTCCCTCCCCCCTCCCTGGGAAGGGCTTGAGTTAGGCAGTCTGAGGAAGAATTTATCCCTGTGGTGGGTCCTGGAAAAGAGAGAGACTGTAGAGGAGGCGGGATTCTCCTACAGGGAGAAACCCCCAGGGAGCACAGTAGGTTCCTGTGGGAGGGAGACCTGATATAGTAGAAACAGAAGACTTCAGTAGCCCACCATGGCTGAAAAATTATTCATTTTGTTTGGATTTTCATTTGGACCTTTCTGTTATCCTGGAAGTGGTTTGAACTTTGTGACTTTGCTGGAGGGCTGAGCCACAGAAGACCCAGCTAGAGGCAGATGGCCGACAGGAGGCATGGGAGCTGAGGATACCAGCTACATTATGCACAGACACAAGGGGGTGATTTAATGTTCGGTGTGGCCAGCCATAGCCATCATCAGTCATTTTTCCAGAATTATCATTAGAATAAATTGATGGTTGCTAGAGTCAGTCTCTAGAGCTTGCAGCAGACTTAAGTGCCAAATATTGCATTGAAATAAAGTTCCAGTGTAAAATACTGGCTTTGTCATCACTGAGGGGACTGTCCTGTCTGTGATGAGTTAAAATAGACTGAAAAATGAAAACAAGTCACTTCTTTTATTAATGTTTTTACATTGTATCGAGCAGATGCTATTAAACCTCATGGTAAGAGATTTAAAAGCAAACAAGATAAAGCAATAGAAAATACATCTTCGGAAAGAGTCCTGCCATGGTAGGGGGGTGGACTAAGTAATCTAATAGATCTTTTCCAAATCTAATTTATATGTGTCCAGTCCAGCAGTCTTCATACAAGAAGAATCCATATTGATTTAAATAGGAGTCATGCCATCGTGAGGACTGAAAGATCTGGACTTATGACAGTCTGAATATTGGGGTTGATTCTCCTCTAACTTGCACCAGATTGATGCTAGGGTAGCTTTCTTGATTTTCAACAGAGATATTCCTTGTTTCCACCTCTGTCTGTAAGAGGCTGGACCAGGCCTATTAACTGTAAAATATGGCGGGGCAGTTTTAATACATTCAAAGTATTCTTTTCAAGATAAAAATATTCCAGCACAAATTTTGTATTTAATAATAAAACAAAAGAACCCCCTAACATTCCCCTCAAAATAAACGTCTTCAACAAACTAATACGTTTTCTCCCCAAATGTTACAAATTATTATTCAATGCTTGGGTTGTTTTCCCCTATTGATAACTGCGCCTAGAAACCCCCGATAAGAGACAGCATTACAGCCCCATTGTGCTAGGCGCTGTTCAAACACATAGTAAAAGATAATCTCCGTAGACAAGACTGACAAAGGGTGGGAGAAAGGAAGTATTTCCATCCTTCCTGGAGAACATGTTGTTTCCAGCTATAGGAAAACCTGGAATAGCCACCCACAGGACTTACATCTACATCTACATCAAGATCAAATAACAGAAGGGAGAAATATTTACTTTATCACCAGGTTGTTTGCATGGACAAACTAAGCTACTCGACATGCTGGCATGACTCTCTTTTGCAATGGTAGCATTGCAAAAAATTCCTCCAGTATAACTGACGATAGTACACACACAAAAACCAACCAAACAAGGCATTGTTAAATATGGCGTAGTTCACTCAGAACTCTAAGAAGGAAACACTCAGCAAGTCTGGTCCCTGCCGAGGGAAACAGCGTAGAGAGGAGATATTGTGAACCTTTACCATCTGTGTTAATGGGATAGAGGAGAAGCCATTCAGGTGATGGACTCACTGACATAAGCAGTATGTTTGTAAGTCTGGGCCCTAAAAATGCAACACAGTAGGTTGGTAATGAAGTGTAACTTTGTCCCAAGGTTGAGAATTTTTTGAAAGGATGATTGGGATATGAGCAGGTTTTATGTAATATTAACAGCCTTTTTTTCTTGCATGGCTAGTCATATTTGAGAAATTTGGTAATAGAGACTTCTGGCAACGTGAACCCTCATATTTGTAAAAGCTGCTAACATGAGTGATAGTAGAGCAGCACTGCTAGATTCCTTTGAGGGGGAGGTGTGCAAAATATTTGCAATGAAATGCAAAATTACTCAAACATCACTTCTCTTTGAACATTTTGTTGCATACTTTTTAAAGCAAAATGTGAAGTTTTTCACAAGTTTTCATGTGAAAATGGCATTACATAATAATACCTGTAGAAATGCATGTTTTGCACATTTCCAACATGTACATAGCATATCATCAACATTTTTTCTCAAAGTGAAATTTTAGGGACTGCAAATTGCACTAACCAATATGGCAAATATTTCCCTAGAAATCTTCTGACACATTTAATTTCACACAGCTCTAGTCTGAATCTAATGCTGACTTATCACCTCTCTAATTCAGAATTAAATGACTCACCTAAAACAGTAAATGTGGTTGTTTTTCATTTTAAGCACTAATATAGAGAACCCCCTACTGATTGACCTATTATGGTGATTTATAGGAAGTAGATATTTGTGCTCTAGAAATTGTTCTGAGCAACTGATTGATTTCACATAAGCCACTAAATAGCAATCAGATCATAATGACCTACAGTCACTAACAGCACAGCCTGGATTTGAACCAGTGACCCACAGGTGAAATCCTTTGTATCCAATTATAAATCCTCTGAGCTAGCCAATGTAAACAATCATAGTTTGTACCTGTCTCCACTGTTGTGATAAAACATTTATTAGTCCTTCGGTTGTAATTTGAAAAATAAATAAATAATTGATGTCAATTATTAAAACTCCCAGGGAAGATCAATTTTTGCTCATAAACTTCTCATGTTTAAATGCATGCTTAGGCTTAGCTTGTACTCATCAGTTGTCAGGCTTATTAACTCTTTGTTTGTGCCCTAGCCCTGGATTAAATGTAATTCTGCTTTGTCCCGGCAATTTTTAACATTATCTTATACCCAAATTTGTATGGCTAGATACTGAAAAACACTTAAGCCTCCCATGGTATAGTAGATATCTGGGTATAACATTTGATTATGGCAATAATTGATAGAAGAAAATAATAAAAATATTTAAAGCCCCCTAGTTTTAAAAATGGTATGAGTATTTGGTTTATTTAGAAAAAGATTTCTTACTGACACCTATATACGGTAAATAAGGGATCCAAAACCAGTTAGCTAATGGCACAGAAAATATTTTGAAACAAAACTCTTAATGAAATAGTGTTGCTTAACGTTACCCAGAATGTTTGGTGTCAGAGTAGGGAATTGAACCCCAACATCCTGAGTCCCACTTCATTGTCTTTACCATATGACCATCCTGCCATCCAATGTGATGTGCAAAGTGTTGAGATCCTCCTATATACCTGCTCTGCTCATGACCCTTCCCTTATGCAGGGCGACCCTAGGAATTCCACAGTGTGGAGGTTCTGGGGAAGCCTTCTGTAATGGGGTGGATTTTATCCTAACTGTTGTAATGTGAATAATGTCATTACCTTAACCAAATCATTTGTAGTCATTATTATTATCTCGTTACTGTCAAAGTTCTGATTCTTTTCATGTCATCTTTGTGTCTGTTGATCATGTTTAATGGTTATGATTTATTTACACAGATGAAGTTTTCAGAAAATGACTATTTTGGCAACGTATTGCAGACCCGCAAATATCTGGCCCAGTCTGACTTCTACTGGCTTAGAAAAGAAGTTTCAAAAACAGAGTGAGTAGGCAAACATGTACATTGATTAAAATTACACACAGTGCCTCATTGTGAAGGAATAATACTACAGAAAAAAATCAGTAGTTACTCAGAAATGTTTGTAAATATTTATCTCTTAATAAACTTCTTAAAAGTTCTGGGCAGTCCTGTTCCAGTGCAGCATCACACTCTTCATATTCACAGAGCTTAAATGTTTAATGTAATGAAAAGAAAGAGTAATTGAATCTCAATTAAAACTGGATTATTTCTCTTGGTCCCAGTAAGAATTTAGAATGGCACAGCAGGGATTTTATTCAATAAATTTTCCATTAATAGAATATTAAGAGATAATATTGTTATTACTAAGAGCAGCCAGCATTGTTAGTTACCTGCTGTTGATAGCGGTGATGTGGAACAAGAGATAATTAATTTCATTTTAACATTTTAAATTTACTTCTAAAATTACAATGTTAAGATGTATTGTATACAATAGTCTAACACGTATGAGTAATCAAATCTTTTTTTCTTACTGGTGGGTAATCAAATCCTTAAAATTCCAATTAAAACATATACAGAAGTCAATTAGTGTAATCGCGCTATTTAAAAATTACCTCTTCTGCATAAAACCTTTAAAGTCAGCACTGATGCATAGCTACGCTGGTCATATTTCATATAGGTGTTGTCATCTTTAGGTTTAAAGATCATTTTCCACATTACAACTAATGTGACAGTTGTCTCCAGTATATTATTAATCCCTATAAATCAGATTCTATTATCCTTACTCATGTTGGGTTTCACCCAGAGGTGAATGTAAGCCAGTACGCAAGAGCTGGTGCGCCATACCGGGGAGGATCGGCTTCCCCTGGCGGCAATTTAAAGGGCCTCGGACTCCCAGCAGTGGCTGGAGCCCCAGGCCCTTTAAATTGCCGCCAGAATCATAGAACCATAGAATATCAGGGTTGGAAGGGACCTCAGGAGGTCATCTAGTCCAACCCCCTGCTCAAAGCAGGACCAATCCCCAGCTAAATCATCCCAGCCAGGGCTTTGTCAAGCCTGACCTTAAAAACCTCTAAGGAAGGAGATTCCACCACCTCCCTAGGTAACCCATTCCAATGCTTCACCACCCTCCTAGTGAAAAAGTTTTTCCTAATATCCAACCTAAACCTCCCCAACTGCAACTTGAGACCATTACTCCTTGTTCTGTCATCAAGTACCACTGAGAACAGTCTAGATCCATCCTCTTTGGAACCCCCTTTCAGGTAGTTGAAAGCAGCTATCAAATCCCCCCTCATTCTTCTCTTCTGCAGACTAAACAATCCCAGTTTCCTCAGCCTCTCCTCATAAGTCATGTGCTCCAGCCCTCTAATCATTTTTGTTGCCCTCCGCTGGACTCTTTCCAATTTTTCCACATCCTTCTTGTAGTGTGGGGCCCAAAACTGGACACAATACTCCAGATGAGGCCTCACCAATGCCGAATAGAGGGGAATGATCACGTCCCTCAATCTGCTGGCAATGCCCCTACTTATACAGCCCAAAATGCCGTTAGCCTTCTTGGCAAAAAGGGCACACTGTCGACTCATATCCAGCTTCTCATCCACTGTAACCCCTAGGTCCTTTTCTGCAGAACTGCTGCCTAGCCATTCGGTCCCTAGTCTGTAGCAGTGCACGGGATTCTTCCTTCCTAAGTGCAGGACTCTGCACTTGTCCTTGTTGAACCTCATCAGATTTCTTTTGGCCCAATCTTCTAATTTGTCTAGGTCCCTCTGTATCCTATCCCTATCCTCCAGCATATCAACCACTCCTCCCAGTTTAATGTCATCTGCAAACTTGCTGAGAGTGCAGTTCACGCCATCCTCCAGATATTGAACAAAACCGGCCCCAGGACAGACCCTTTGGGCACTCCACTTGATACCGGCTGCCAACTAGACATGGAGCCATTGATCACTAACCGTTGAGCCCGACGATTTAGCCAGCTTTCTATCCACCTTATAGTCCATTCATCCAATCCATACTTCTTTAACTTGGCGGCAAGAATACTGTGGGAGACCGTATCAAAAGCTTTGCTAAAGTCAAGGAATAACACATCCACTGCTTTCCCCTCATCCACAGACCCAGTTATCTCCTCATAGAAGGCAATTAGGTTAGTCAGGCATGACCAATCCCCAGAGCCCTGCTTCCAGAGCCCTGGGGAAGCGGCAGCGGGGCTCGGGTGGCGATTTAAAGGGCCCAGGGCGCCTGCCGCAGCTACCACCCCGGGCCCTTTAAATCGTCTCCGGAGCCCTGGGGTAGCGGTGGCGGGGCTCCGGCGACGATTTAAAGGGTCTGGGGCTGCGGCAGCCACTACCGCCCCGGCCCTTAAAATAGCCGCCGGAGCCCCGCCACCGCCTCCCCAGGGCTCCGGCAGCAGGGCTCCAGGGACTATTTAAAGGGCCAGGGGCTCGGCCGCCGCTACCGCCCCGGGCCCTTTAACTTGCCGCCGGAGCCCCACCGCCACTACCCGTGGGCTCCAGCAGCATGGCTCAGGTGGCGATTTAAAGGGTCCAGGGCTCCCACTGCCCCTACCCTCCAGTGCCCGTTAAACCAGCTGCTGCTGCCCCAGCCCTGGGCACTTGAAATCCTGATTTAAAGAGCCTAGGAATTTAAAGGCCCCGCCTCTTCTGGTAGAGGCCATGCCTCTTCCGGTTGAGGCCCCTCCCCCTCCCAAGGACTCCGGAGTACCGGTAAGTCCTTTAAGTTACTTTCAGCCCTGGTTTTACCTTACGCCATGAGTGGTCCTCTTGACTCTATGAGACTACTCAAAGGGTGATGTACTGAACTACTCCCTGTTAGTAATGGTATCAGAATTTGGCCCTCTATTTTTGAGGCACAGTCCTTGGTTTTAGCAGCTTAACTTCAACAGTGAGTGTGACTGCTAAAATCTCATGAACACATTACTTTGAAAGCAGAAGGGTTAATTCTGAAGGGATGATTTTGAAGACTCTCCTATAGCCTTGTATGCCACAGTTAGATCATGATAATATATTCTCTTTAGCTCATCATGAGTTTCCAGAGAGCAGTGAAATAACATTTTCTCCTTTATAGAAAAGTAGATAAACACCCTCAATCCTTCAGTCTCGCAAAAGAATTTTTTTAGCTGCATTAATGTGCACTGAATAGGTTCTTACCATGAAGGGAAATGTCATCTTGGAGGAAATTATTTGGCAGGTAATCCCTGAAATATACACCTTTAGGGCCATACTCTGAGAATTTTCACATCACTGATATGCTTAAAAAATAAGGGATTTACTCCCCTGTTCACCGAGAGATAGAATATAATTTCTCCCTCTTATCCTGTTTCTCTTCAGTCAAGGAGAACTTGAAGGTATTTTTACTCTCATTGTAGCATGATAGATCAGATCTGGTCTTTCTTTGCCCTTCATGCTACATTAAAAAAAAAAGATTAATAGACCTAATGTCCATATAGGATGAGATTGTGTGAAGTGGAGGAAGGAGGTGTAAAGTGCCCCCTTACTCTCCTGAGTGTGCTACCCATATTGTGGATTACAGAATGGTGAGGGAGAGCAGCCTCCGTAGGGTCACTACTGCACCTCCTGTGCAAGGTGGTGGGGAGTGCACAGAGCCTTGACTTCACTCCCCTCCACAACAGTTGCTCCAGGCCGCCTAGCTGAACTGAGGAAAAGTGGGAAGTGAAACCTGTCAGGTGAAGTGCTGATGCAAATTACTTCCCCCATGAAGCAAAAGGGGGAAACCAGGGACCAAGTTTTGAGTCTGAGAGTCACAATTTAATTACCAATCTGTTCCTTGGCAGCAGAACTACATGCTACCCCTTCCTCAAAGCTCATAGCAACTCCACAATTTGCCCATGGTAATCATTATGTCTTTGAAATTATACATAATGGATGGTAGCACAGTTTGAACTATATATACTTGCCATGCATACAGGTAGCTAAAGCATTAAGAACCACTAGTGCTTCCTTTATAAACTTCTACTTTATCTTAAGGTGCTTATAATTCAACAGTAATAATTCACACCAGGCTAATATGTGAGATGTGATCTAAAAAAAGATCAGTTTTGCCACATTTAAGCTAAGAGTCAAAGAGACATGATTATGCTTCTCTGATGTTTTTACAGTAGAATTAAATGCTTTTCTGTTTCTCATGGAATTTTGCAGGTCATTAGTTCCTATTGTGGTTTGGTACTGTGTATGTGTAATAAAAATAATTATAACATGCTCATTATTTGGCTTCTGTCCAGATACAATAACCTTTTACAAAATGTTTTAATATGCATACCTATATTGACACCATGAGTAGAGCCTTGCAAATCTGCGGATATCCACTTTATATCTGCGCACTATTTTTGCGGATCGCGTATCAGATGCGGATAAAATATTGTATCTGCGCAGGGCTCTAATCATGAAGTGGCCCAGAGTGGGATCAATAAATATTGAGTATTGATTTTCCTGGCTATGGTAATGGGTCTGACAAAATAATGATATTAAACCAACACAGTAATATAACCAAAAAAGTATCAACGCTATAAGGTCAGGGAGTACTTTCCAAGTGTAAACAATGAGGTAGAAGGAGGTGCAAAGGCAGTGTGGGAGAAGGAGGACAATTCCAAGATACTTTGAAATTAAAAAATAAATGTTCAGTATTTCAGATGTGGCCCTTGGGGTTCCCTCCTCAGACTGAAGGAATCTAAATTGGTGGTTAGTCCTGCAAGCTGTTGCAAAGCCATGCAGTTTGTCCTGTGGGTGAGCCCCACTTTCCAGGTGTCTGCATCATTCACAAATTGTTGTTCTGACTGCTGATGTGAATGGATGTGAAATTGAAATACAGTATAAATAAATGTTTTTATTTCTTGACTCCCCCCCCCCCACCAGAAGCACCTGTCGTCTTTTGACTTTCACTGTTTTACTAAAATATTTCCACCATTTCATCACTTTATTACAGAGATTTTTTTCTGGAAAAAGCCTTTCTCTTAAATAAACTCTGCAGACAGGATTACCCTTGGCAATTAGAGTCCATAAAATGATGGATATTTAAGACATGCCTATGACATCATTCTTTGATGTTTCAATTGATTAATTCTCTGGTTCCTGCGTTGTAAAAGAGGCAGCACAACGCTGAAAATAAAATGAGAGAGGGAGGCTGATTAATGTATTGATTAAGGAATGTACACTGCCATTTTAAGATTCTATCCTTTATTGCACAATTTAACTAAGAATTGCAATTGCCAACAAAAGCACATTACGACTATAACTCCACAGATAACTAATTCGGTTGCTTATTTTACATTAATGTCACTGAAATCAGACATTTTCCAGGCTCTGATTAGCTCGCCTTCTACCCTGCTCTTTCTTTCCTACTTCTTCCCCAGGTGCCTTTGTTCTGCTGCTCCCACTCAATCCAGTTGCTTGACTCCACTCCCAGTGCAGATGTTTCTTTGATCCCAACCCAGTCCCTCAGCCTCTTTTCACCCTATCCCCCTACCTACATTTGAAAATTTATGGGGCTTAGTAGCTTTGCCAGAGTCTCTGCTGGGCCAGAAGTGGCTGCTTGCTTCCAGTGTCTCAGTACTTTAGACCAGGGTTTCTCAATCCGTGGGTTGTGACCCAAAAGTGGGTTGTCAGATTGTTTCAAAGGGTCATGAGGTGGCTCCCATGGGGCTGGCTGAGCTCAGCTCCAGGCATTGTGACCTGTAGGGTTGCAGCACTCCTCAGGTTTGGCCCAGCTGTTCCTCTGCCATGATGATGGGGGGCCAGGTGAAATTACAGTGAGTGCTGCTGCATCAGGTAGGGTTACCACCACAGTTGCCAACTTTCACACGGTAAATAAGCACCCCGACTTTCACAATAAGCCAAAAATCAAGCTAATCCCATTTCAAAACAAGGCCAAAACAAACCAATCCCTAAGAACCCCAACACTCTATGTGACTAGATCCCCCCGGCGTGCAGTCTGGGACTGTGGTGGGCCCGCTGTGCACCCCTGAGTCTCTCCCCACCTTGCCCCTGCTTGCCGGGAGCCAATAAAAAAAAAAAGAACCTAAAAGCAACAAACTACAAGCCAAAAACTAGCCAACAAGCAACTCACATGCCAATTAAGCCAAAAACAAGCCCAATTTCTGCATTTTTTTGGCGGGTTTGACATGTCTGGTGACCACCTGCCTAGTATTTGACCGGCCTGGCCGTTTTTTAATGGATTTGCCAGTTGCCAAAAAAATAATTTAATCTGCCATTTTTTTTTTACGTGGGTCTAAAGATTTGCATTATTATCACAATACACTGGGATATCTAATGTTAAAAGTTTTTGTGTCCAGCTAAAGATGCTGCAGTGTTCCCACTTCTGCAGTTGACGTAAGAAAATGTTATCAATCTTACCTATATGTGTTCTCTCTCCACATACTATAAGTGGCTGTTGAAGGAGGGGGAGTTACAGAGTTGCCTTGTGGTTGGTGGTTGAGGTTGTGGCGGGCTTGCCTTCTGTGATGGTGGGTGCTTCTTATTTTGCATTTCAAAGGTGGTAACCCTAGCAGCAGGTGGCAATGCCACTTCCAGAAATTTGGCCCAGATGGACCCTGTCAGGGCACTCTGAGCCTGGAGGTGGCAATGCCTGGAGTGAGGAGACAGGCCCAGCCAGCCCTGTGGGACTAGAGCCGCAGGAGTAACTGCTGCGAGGTGAGTGTGGGGTGGGCTCTGCCACAGGCCTTCCCCTCCCACTCCTCAGTGGTGGCAGAACCCGATCCCCTCTCCCATGGCCTCCTACTTACCCATGGGGCAGGACCTGATTGCCCCTCCTCCCACCCACTGCCTATTTACTGGGTTGTGACAGGCCATAACCCACTCGGGGCAGGACCCAACACCCCCTCCCCAGCATATATACTGGGTCATACCAGGCCATTAACATTTACAAATGGCTCCTGAGCCTGAAAAGGTTGAAAACCACGGCTTTAGATCGTCTCTTTTAGCTGGTTCTTGGAGTGTATTGTATTCGTGAGCTCACAAGTGTCTCACTTGCACGTGATGAAACATAGGTTAGGAAGGCTGTGGGGTGCTGGGAAAGGGTTGTGTTTGGTGGTCTCAGGGAAGGGACCAGACAGTTGGAAATTAAGGAGGTGGTCTCTGAGGCTGTGTAGCTTGGTTTTAAAAGCGCCAAGGCACTTACTGTATGGTTAAGGTTTGGAAGAGCATTCAGGCAAAAGGGAACCACTGAACTTTTTCTCAGGGTACCCACCATCGGTAGTCACATTAGTGCAAATCCTGACTTCAGTGAGAGTTTTACCCAAGTAAGGACTTCAGGGTCCGGTGTCCATGCTGCATCCCAATAAATCTTTCTAAATTTCACTTTCAGATTTCACCTTTCTAAAGGGGAATGAAAATATTTTAAAGCAGAGTAATTCAGAAGGGATTCCTCAACATTTATCTTTCAATATTTTTTGTTTTTAACTTGAGAGGGTTTTTGCCTACTAAGACCTAAATTCAGAGTTGAACGTTTTAATAGCTGCATTGAATGGCATCACTAACGCTTTGAAAATAACATTCCTTATACTGTTTTTAATAATAGTGAAGTCATTAATTGTAGTAAGAGAAACCCTGAACTCTGTTCTTTGCAGGTAAGTAAAATCAGAACTAACTGGTTTTCTATACCAGTTTGTTCACCCATTTAAAATCATTTAAAATGTTTTAATCTCTATTGTGCATGTATCCTGTTACATGGGATTTTAATCAATCTCTCTCTCTCTCTCTCATATGATTTTATATGGCCTGCCATTACCATATTAGCACCTCTCCATTAAAGATTGGGTTATCCTCATACACTCCTATGAGGTTGGAAAGTGCTATTGTCCCCATTGTACAGATGGGGCAGTGAGGCACAGAGATGGTAAGGCCTAGATTTTTAAAAGGTATTTAGGCATCACTCCATTCAGAACTGCAAGGCTTAAATAACTTAGATGGAAAAGCCACATTTTCAAAAGTGAATTAGGCACTAAGGGAGCCTTAGTCCTATTGACTTTTAATGAGACTTTCTAAAGTTTTGATCTAACATACTGAAGAAATTCTAGCATCTCATGTGATAACTCAAGAATTTTTCCCTTCAGATGTACAGACATTTATTACACCTGGGCCTAATTTATCACAGATTACCCACTAATTCTCATTGTTTTTATATTTAATTTTATTTTAATTTTTTCATTATAAAAAGCCTAGGGTGAAATCCTGGCCCCATTGAAGTCAATGGCAAAATTCTCATTGGCTGCAGTAGAGGCAGAATGGGGCAGTAGGGAGGGTCTGACTCTACTCCCAGTAAAGTCTATGTGAATTTTGCTATTAACTTCAATAGGTGCAGTGTTAATCCATATCTTACTGCAGTAAAAGTTCAGCCAGGGTTAATATTAAATCCTTCAAATCTTGCCAGTGCAGGTTCTGTTACAATATTAGTGGAAAAGCTCCAATATTCTGGTTTCTCCATTGCATTTATGGTTTAGACCACAAAGAGCAGCAAGGAAAGCACATGACCAATTGAAAATAATTCTTTTGTACATTGTTTGCAGACCAGTGCAATATTTGTAACCACGATGAACCTCACTTTTGTTACTCACTCACTCTTTTGTTAATAAATGACATTAGAGGGTGAGAAGATCACTGAGTTGTGGGGCAGAAGGGGATAATGCTTAGCATATTACATCTTCCAGTATTAACTAACCTACCTGTGTAAAGGCCCAATCCTGCTCACACTGACACACAAGTAACTTTACTCAAGTGAGTAGTGCCATTGGAAGCAATAAGACTAACTATTTGAGTAATGTTACTCATGTGCGTGTTGGTTGGATCAGGCTCTAAGGTAGGTAAATAAATATATTACTCATTTTACAGTTGGGGAAACTAAAAGGTTAAATTGCTAGTCCAGACCATTCAATGAATCAGTGGAAAAGCTGGATTTGAATTTCAGGAGTTCCTGTAACCTCATCCTTTGCATTGTCCCTTAGCCCACAGTACAGAATATTTCACTTCTAGGCCATTGGTTAATAGTTGCTGAAAGCTATTGCAATCTTTACTAGTGATAAAATAATTAGCAGTAGTTGCTGAGTGGCCTACAGAATTTTCTTTCCTTTGTTCTTATTAGAGATACATCCACATAATTGAAATCATCCTAATAGGCATGAGTAGTCACTTTGTCAGGGGTTGCAGGAGAGAGGCCATGGACTGAAAAGTCTTGATTACTCATTTCTAAGTAAACTCTAATTTCTATAGGTAGTTTCTCCATGAGTGGGTTGAAGTACATTGCTGAGGCTAGGTCTACACTACAGCGGGGGGTCGACCTAAGATACGCAACTTCAGCTACGTGAATAGCGTAGCTGAAGTGGCGTATTTTAGGTCGACTTACCTGGCTGTGAGGACGGTGGCAAGTCGACCGCTGCCGCGCCGCCGTCGACTCCGCTACCGCCTCTTGCCGCGGTGGATTTCCGGAGTCGACGGTAGAGCCATCAGGGATCGATTTTATCACGTCTTCACTAGACGCGGTAAGTCGATCCCCAATAGACCGATTGCTACCCGCCGGATCGGCGGGTAGTGAAGACGTGCCCACAGTGCAAAGGACTTTGTACTGCTGCTGTCTGTGTGGGTCTGTGTGGCACCTGTTCATTTTAAATAGAGGACTTCATTGTCCACGGCTGTCAATTTGGCATCTTTCATAAGCACTAAAATCACTTTAAAAAGAACACAAAAATAGAATAAGTGTTAGCAAGTGTACCCTCCAGTGACTGCTCTGTTAAGCACTATTTGATTATAGTCATTTAAAATAATGTCAGTAGATAATAGATTTAAATGATCCAAAAATCACAGATAGCCATTGACAAAATTGCAGAAATAATTATATTTGTAATGTATATAATGGCTTTTAATCTCTTGGTTTCATTTAGCTGAATTAGCCTTTTATCTTTGATTATTCCATTCACAAGCCCAACACACTGACAACCAATATTTTGTTGCTGTTTATTGCTATTTTTACAGGTGGTTTACTAGTCCAACCACTGTCAACGCTTTCTATAGTGCATCAACCAACCAGATCAGTGAGTACCCGACTTCTTTTTCTTCTTTAATTATTTGTTCGGAAAAGGATATGTATGAAGGCATACCTTTTCAGCTGATACCAGCAGGAGCTACAGGTGGTTGGGACCTGAAAATCAGGCCCTGACATGAGTCACATCAGCCACCCCAACATTTAAACATTTTAAGTTAGTGTACACCACTGAAAATGCAAACCTAAATTCCTTCCATAATCATGCACTAATACAGCATTTTTGTACCAGTGAATGTGTACCAAGGAAAGTAGTTCAGATAGTAAGGGCTAAATCCTGATCTCCATCACATTTGTGCAAGTCCATTGAAGTCAATGGGCATGAATGGGTATTATAGAATGTTGCATTTGGCTTTACATTCTTGTCTGATTTGTCTGATCTCATCTTGTAATTACAGCACAACACCTTTTAACCTAATCTTGGATTACTGGTTCCCTTGTTTTTAAAATATTCTGGCCAGATAGCTTATCTTCATCACACTTTGGTTCCAGGGTTCCTGAAATAATATGGCTGAGATTTTCAAAGCTGTTTAGAGGATCTGGATGCCCAATTCCAGTTTGTTTTAATGGGAATTTTGCATCCAAATTTCTTAAGGCTGGAGGGATGGTAGTGTTACCTTTATCTTGATACCTCTCTTCCACCTCCCAGCTGTGAGAGTTACTGGCAGCATCATCCTTTCTTTTTCTGTGGCTTCAGGCTCTGCATAGCTCTCTGGCATAACCTCTCTGCTTGGGGGTCCCTTACCACAGGCTTGTCGGAGTTCTCTGGTTGGCTCCCCCACCATTTTCTTAAATCTCTTTTTATCACACTATGAAGTAATTCCTGAAACTAATGGAATGGATATGCCAGACTGAAGGTAGACAGGAACTCCTGTCTAGTGGGTAAAGTAGGGAATTAGCACTTATGTCGCCTGGATTGTATGCTCAGCTATTTCTGCAACTAACTTGTGCCCCTGCACAAGTCACTTAACTTCTCTGTGGCTCAGTGTACTCATTTGTAAAATGGGTGCAATAATTAGGCTCTCCTCCTAAAAATAGCCCTCGGCATATTCTGTTCCACTTTTACTGAAAGGTCACCTCTATTAAGCAACCGATTTTTGAGTGGTCATTTAAGATCACTAATCAATTCTGTGATAGCTATCTAAAGGACATGAAAAATAACTGCCTTTTCCTGTTAAATGAAGAACAAACTTCCCCGGTTTTCAGATTTACAGTATAGCTAAGGTTGAAGTTTAGCAAGCACAGAATAAAATCTGTTGCTGTTACATATACTTTATTATTGAGTCCTTTCAAACTTACCGTATCATTCAGCTCTCTCAGCTACTCTGACATAGCACATTAAAGAAAGCTATAATGAGAGGCTGGAGTTACTGATGCTGAATTTCACACTCCCTGTGTCTAACGGTATCACGAAACAGAGAGCTGTCAAATGTAACCAATCAGTCATGGGTGTAGAAGCAATTGTATTTTATATCATGACTGCTGACCACCTTGTACCGCTTGCATTTGACCTTGGGTTTTAGATAGTGCTGCTCACTGTCTTTAAGGCTGTTCTCAGGTGCAAAAGAATGTACATGGTCTGAGCTGATCTGGTTGAGAGAGAGAGTCCGTTATGGTATTTACCTCTGCATGGGAGGGGTCATAAATGGAACCTTTCACTGTAAACTGTGTGAGCTAGGGAGAGGGATACAGTATAACTGGTGGTCCACCATTCTTTAGATAGGAAATTTACAATGAACTAGCCCTTGTTGAAAGTCAGAGGGATCTGTTGAACACTGGAGGCCACTATCAAACCTCCTTTAAAAGTTGATTAATTCCAGGAAAGAGCTCCACCATTATCTGGGATGGAATTCCTGAAAGTATCGAAAATAAGTTCATTCAAGAGGGCTGTACTCACTCTCTCAGAAAACTTCACTCATGAGAGCTACATCTTACCACTCTGAGTCACGTTTTTAGTAACCATTCATGTTGAATATCCTAGGAGCTGGGGAAAATACTACACAAACTGTGGATATGGAGTCACCTCTTTAAGCAAACTAGATTCTACTATGTTTCTGTTCGCTTTTAGTGTGTGACAGAAATATTTGTAGAAATAGTGAATTTTAAGTGAATGAGGGAGATTGTTTATGAAAAGCAAGTTTTATATTAGTAAGTGATAAGATTTAGAGCAGAAACCTAATTCTAAAAGCTAATGGGAGCTAATCAAAATAACCAGTACAACTTGAATTTCAAATACTCACAGCAAGCTGCTTGCAAACAATATAGAGACAAAGGACTGTTTTGTTTTGAACAATGAATTCTGAGTAGTGAATACATTCTAAATAAGCCTAAATGTTTTATGGACAATTCATAAACATAGAAAGAAGTGAGCATAGTCTTTTGGTGGCTACTGACAACTATTGCAATATGTCCCCTTTCTTATGCCCATCTCATTCCTTCATGCCCAGCTCTGCATTAGTGCGTGGAATACTGGTGGCCTACTATTCCATCCAGGACCTTTGTCAAGTCCGTTTCTCATACTGCCTATCCCTTACAGGCCCAAGTGCCTGAGAGAATGAGCCAAAATGGCTTCTATGGCTGCAATTTCACCGATATAAACACTTTTCATTAACTACCACTGCATGTTCAAGGAAGCACTGCAAACTCCAAAAAGGCAAATTGAGTGTTTTTAATTTCATCTTGATTATTTAATTTCATCTTGTATTGAGTACTGACTCATAAGGAAGAATGCCACCTACTGACTCATGAGATCTTTCTTAGTAGAAAGCAAAAACACGATGATTAAAAAAATTAATGAATAAATTGCGGAGAATACAGCAAAATTTGCATGAAGATGGCAATGCTATCAGCTTGGTTGAGCTTATGTACAAGTAGATTCCTATTGCCCTGCTCACATTGTTTTTATTTCACTAATATACAGTATATAGAACCCAGAAACCATTTTTCTAGTTTCTAATTCTTTCTTTTAGATAAAACAGACCTGTTGACAGTGCAAGTTGTTTTCTCAAAAGAGAGGTAATCAGATATATGAGGTAAAGGAATGAAACAATGTTCGGGCTATACAGGTTGTCAGTTATAGGCAGTATACACACTGTTATTAAAGTTACATCAAAGAATTCTTTTATCAGTTCATTCTGCTTGGTTCCTCTTTCCTTAAATAATTCACTTATTAACTTAATTGAGGTGTATTAAATTAACCAATGCAGCCCAATTTTTTTGAAAAGTTGAAATTAGTTTCTTAACATTTGACCTCATATTTTTGAGTATTTACTGAGCAATGTAACCCACCGATTTTGGGTAGTTTTTATTTAAGGAAGCAGTTGTAAGTCATTGCCTTTATAAACAGATCCATATACCATAGTCTTTGAGTATTCCCTGTATGTAGTATAGGGAATACTGCAAATGTCATGGTTTTAATTGCAACCATTGGTACAGTGCATTGACTGGCTTATCTTTTTCCATAATGGGCTTTTAGATCCTGATCTAAAATCTATTGAAGTTACTGGAAAGACTCCTATTGACTTCAATAGGCTTTAAATCAGGTCCTTATTGAATTAGGTACCTAAGTAAATCAATCAGTGTTAAAAAAAAGTCATAACAGAAAGACTTATGGCAAGCGTTTACTACTTTACTTCTACTGAGGAGAGTTGGGCATCATTATAGCACTCAAAATGCAGCATAACTCTCTGGCCTTTAAAAGACAAAAAATGGAATGCCCCAACAAAAAAGAGAACAGGAAGCTTGACATTTGGCAGGCTTAATTTCCTTAATATGTATAAATATATAATATTTTCTATTATGTTTCAAAACTTGAGCACTTTTGATCAGCTAATTATGATTATAGACAGTGGATTTGCATGGGATGAAGCTAAATTTAGGCCTAAACTGAATCATATGCTCATTAAATAAGAACATATATAGATGTATCAGATATTTAGCCCCACTGGATAGGTATAAACATATGTAGATACAAGTGTCTTTTTTATTCACTTATTGCGATATGTCAGTTCCCCAGATTTATGGTGTCAGTCAAGATGCCGAGAGCTGCCTCATTACATTTTAGAGGAAGAACCCTTTGAAAATGCCAGATGAGACCTTATATCTCCTGCTAAGCATCTTGCAAGATGTATGTGCTTGGTGGTGTGCAGCAGAGGAAAGCTCTGTGGTATCTGGTGGCTAAGGAAATGCAACAAACACAGTGTGCTGCATTCATGGTCTCAGAGAGGAGCTCTGTTCTTTTTCTGAAGGACTGGGTTAATCAGAAGTTTACTGACGAAGGAGCAGTTTCAAAATAGTCCATTGGCTTTCTGAAGGCTAATGAGCAGAGCAGTTTTGGAATTAACATTTTTGAGCAGTGTTCTTAATTAAGAGATTCAAGTTGTTCCCATTTTCCTAATGACCAGCGGTCACTTTCATTTTAAACTACATTCACAGGCAAGACAATGAGCATTTCTCCTCCCACCCCCTTCCTTGATGTTCTTATCTACAAATGCCCAAAATAGAAGAATTTTTTCCTTGTATGTTTCTTGTTTCTGGGGAATCCTAGATATTCCCTTTCCTTAAGAAAAATATGTAAATGTTTTTTGTAAAATCATTCTTTTCCTTTTTCCTAGGTCCTTAAGTGGCCCACTTCACTGTGCTGTCTGAGCCCTCATAACCATTAATGCACTTACCCTCACAAAACCCCTATGAGAGAGGAAAGTAGTATTATCCCTATTTTCACAACATCTCTATGAGAGAGGGAAGTAGTAATATTCCTGTTTTACAGGTGGGGAGAGAGATTAAGGTTCTTTCTCAAAATCAAATGGGAAATCTTTGTCAGAGCTGGGAACTGAAAGTCGATTGAGTCCAGTGCCTTTGCCATTATATCCTCTTTCCTCTCTCCCTGTGAGCTGAATTTGCACCTACTTTTTAAATTAAGGTTTGCACTTATGTACAGTATGGGCCAGTTAGTCTGCCTTCCACAGTTTAGTCTGTTTGTTCTGTGAACTCACAGGATGTATGGGGTGAAATGACCACTTTTCTTGTTCGCCTCCTTGTGTGGTCAGGTCAGGCAGAGCCGCATTGTTGTTCGTAGATCTGGGTCTCTAAGCACATTCCCAGGTGCAGGCCCAGGTTTCTGTGCACCATCTTTGAGATGTGGAGTTTCACAGCTAAGCTGCCTTAGACCTCCTAATCAGTGCCTCAACTCTCCCGAGCCCTCCTGTTGCTTATACGTGTTCCTTCAGAATTCCGTCTCACTGTGTGGGTGCTCTGAACTCAGTTAACCTTCTCAAGGACAACGTAGCAGGCAGGCAAGGAACACAGGCTTATCAAAGGAATTTCTTAACCACAGCCACTTTTACAGTTAAGAAAGTACTAGAGAGTTACAGTTCTTTGCAAAATAAGTAACAATCCTGAGACACACCCTCCCCATGACTGATTTCATCCTTCCTGTGAGTCTGAGGGTTGGTCAGCATTTCACATGAGGCAGTATCTCTCCTACCCTCTTTCACTGTCTCTCCAGCCTGGTTTTCTGGCATGTGATGGTGGACAGCTCTCTTCTTCTGAAAGCAGAAGGGGTGCAGCCCACCCCTTACATATAGTCTCTGATTCTGTTTTGCCTTGTGACCAGACTGGGAAATTCTAATCCCAAGTCATGCAAGTCCCCATGAAGAAAAGCATTGTCCCTTGTGTTGGGCCAGTCACTGAGAATCAATCAGAGTTGGTGGCCCTTGAAGGCTCTCCCACTGTAGTCCTCTCTGAGATGTGCCACACCCTATCCTGGAGGGGTAGAGTGTGGACTGGCCTTGTCAGGGTCAGGCTGGCTTTCCAACACAAAATGGCAGTTAGCACATTAAAATGGATCGCAGGATATAAGAATGGAAGTCACAAAACAAAATCAAGGTCACAGTTTGATACATGCATATCTCACTTGGTCACGGTGAGTTACTTTACTCACAAATAGACTTATTAAATCAGTGTAACTACTCATATGAGCAACATTACTCACACCACATTAATATTTATAGAATTGGGCCCTTGAACACTGAGGGCTCATGTGCCAATGAATGCACCTATACAAGACAGTAAAGGGATGATTTGGAGCCCTGCGTGGGCTACCTGCATGCCACAACATGGAGGAGACCAGATTGCAAGGTTCCACAGTCCAGTCTGGACAGTTTTCTATTGACTTCAAAAGGTTTGGATCTGATCCTAACAGAGTGTGTGATTTGTCACTGCCTAAACTCATTTATGAAGAAGCTTCGTAGGCGGGACCTATTCTAATGATGATACCTAACACTTACACAGGGCTTTTCATTTTTAGATCTCAAAATGCCTTACAAAAGAGGTCAGTATCGTTATCCTCATTTTATGGATGGGGAAAGTGAGGCACAGGAAGTAAAGTGACTTGCCAAAATCCACCCAGTAGGCTAGTGGCAGAGCCAGGAATACAGCCCACATCTCCTGAGTCCCAGTCCAGTGGTCTGTCCACTAAGAGTAAAGATCTAAACGTAAAGATCTCATCAGGATACTTGAGAATGCCATTAATATGAGAAGTCTGACAATACACATGGTGAATATGAATGCTTACTCTTCTAGTTCTGATGCAAGATCAGGAAATCCTTGGTAACTAGTGTAATTTATATTTTTACAGCACAAAAATAAAGAGGCTGAACATGGTCTGAACAACAAAAGAGCATCCAGAGAACTATAAAAACCCAGATAATAAGTTTTACAAAAAGTTGCTTTTCATAAATCAATTGCAAACAGGTGGCTATGGCAGCAAGGGAGCAAGAGCAGGCAGGCAGCAGATGGGCAGGCCAGGAGGGCATACCACTTGCTGCATCACTTGACATGAATTACACTCAGTATGTTCTTTTAAAAGACTCTGGGAGGATAACAATGAAATGTTGCCTCACGTTTACCTTCGCTGTGCAAAATTCCACGCTCTGTTTATAAATAATAAAAGACCTAAAATCTTATTAAGTGTCGTTTTGTTTTGATTTTAATGTTCATGTGGTTTTTATGTTTTGAGACGGTAACATTCTTTGGCAATCAGAGTATGGCGGAAAAGTTAGAAATTGCAATGAACAGTCTGAGACACATCATTGTCATAGCCACTTTATATATGCTTAAGATACTCTTAAAAAAAAGAGAAACGGAGATATAGGCCAAGTCTTTTCAAAAGGGAGCTCCTGAAGCTATACACCTAACTCTATATCTAAGCACATACGTGGCTTGATTTTTCACCCCATTTTGAAAAATTTGGCCAGAGAGTCTCAATCTTGTGTAGTGGTGCAGCGGCTGTTAACCAGTTGCTATGTTTAACCCCAGATAAGGAAGAACTTCAGCAGCAGGGAATTGACAGGGTGTGCAGGGTGTAATGAAATGTAGTTTAGTGGTTAGAAATGGGCCTGGGATTTGTGAGTTCTAGGTCCTATTCCTGTCCGTGTGTGATCTTGGGTAAATCACTCACTGGAGTGTCAGCACTGATAACCTTTCAACTGCAGATTATTTTACCAGTAACTTCCAACTGATGCACTTACTGGATATGGTTGGATGTTCCTATCAAGCCTTGATAATCTGTTTATACTGTGATCCTGATTCAACAAGTTGGTTAAACATATGGCTTACTTTAAACAACTCACTGATTTTAATGGGACTAGTCACATGGTTAAAAATAGGAACGTGCTTAAGGACCTTGCACGGGTTCCAGTAGCCTGGGGAGCAAGTTCTTAATTTTTATTTTGGCATTTTGTCTGTTACTCCTGCCCTTCTGTATGTATTGTCAAGAGCTCAGAGGCCAGAGAAGTGGCTCTGTCCCTTTGCACGGGAAGACCAGTGCAGCCAGCCATCTATGTAGCCCAAAACCCAGAGAGAAAGCACAAGCAAAGTTCTGCTTGTCTAGATGTCTAACAAACAACAACAAACTGTCTCAGGTCATAGTGCAACATCCTGTTGCCACTGCACTGTGAACAAGGAGGATCTACGGTCTGTTTGGAAGGCTAATTATCAGCACACTGTTTTGAAGTTGTTCAAGAGAAGAACTGCCCTGCAGAACCCTCTTTAAAAACCCCCTCATGGCTTCATCGTTCAGCGGGATTGAATTTGCTTCTAACTTTTGTATTTTGACTCTTACAGGATTCCCAGCAGGAGAACTCCAAAAGCCTTTCTTTTGGGGGACAGAATACCCTAGGTAAGTAAGAAAGGAAAACTATAGTAAGTAGGCAGTGAAGAGTAACAGAGTTGCAAAGGTAAGTTCTTGGGTGAAATGAAAGGGAGCACGAAGTGAGAGAGTGTATTGATACAGCAGCCCAAACCAATGTGTACAGTAGAAATGTATCATCATGGCATGAAGAAACTGGCAATGGGAGAGATCCTTCTGCTGCAGGCTGCTTTTTCTATTGAAAAACCAGGTTGAACTGAAAAGCTGCTGCCTTGTGAGATGTCTGTTTTTACCTTGGGAAACTGGATGTCTCTGTGTTTTAAACTGAGGATTGATTGCTTTGAGGAATTTGTAAATAATTGTGTGTGTGTGCAGGGTGTTTAGATTCTGGAGTGAGCAGAAGAGAGCAGCCTGGGCATGAAGTCTATTCAAAGAGAACCATAAATAATGGAAGCAAAACTTTCATCTTCACTGAATGCTGCCCCGCCCCAGCTAAGGGTATGTCTACACCCAGCCGCTAGTTTGGCGGCTGGCAATCGAAGTTCTGGGTTCAACTTATCGCGTCTTGTCTGGACGCGATAAGTCGAACCAGGAAGTGCTCGCCGTCGACTGCGGTACTCCAGCTAGACGAAAGGAGTACCGCGGAGTTGACGGGGGAGCCTGCCTGCCGCGTGTGGACCGAGGTAAGTTCGAACTAAGGTACTTCCACTCCCATACTCATCAGAATGACATTTAGTAAACAAATGAATCTGTTCTATATCAAACAGATTGGCTTATTCTAGATCTTTTGTCAGTCCATATAATAGAGACCATACATGAGTGCTGGAATCAGAAAAAAATCAAGTAATAAATACCAGCACTTGCAGAAAAATGTATCCTGCAAATATTTATTCACTGACCACTATTAGGGTCCAGCTCCAATACAACCTCAATTAAAATCAACTCTACCTTATCTCATAATTGGAAGCTACATTATTAGGCTACATGTGTGTATATCAAATAAAATGTGATTATTAAACTCCATCATTCCTAGTTAGGAGTTTGTAATGTGTGTGGCATTGCAAACAGAGTGACAGAAAACTATTTGAATTAGGTTTTGTAATTACAGACTTTTTTTGATAGTAGAATGTTCACAAACAAATGTTGCTGATAATGTTAAAAGACAATAATCTTATTACAAACTCACTGGGTTGATTTTAATGATTTTTGGATAGCAGCATTCCTAACGTTATCCATCAAAAATCAAATAACGACCATTTTTTCTGAGTGACATGACTAGTTATTTACCTACATTGTCTAAAGTTGATTTTGGTTTAAATTTGATTTTAACACCTGCAGAGCTCCCAGGATAGGTAAGAGAGGGTTCTCAACCTAGAGAAAAGTATCTTGATCCTTTACTATACTATAAACATTAGCGACAACTGGAAACTTTTCTACAGAAGTGTTCCTCATGCTGCTAATACCAGTGCAGCTGATTTTTTTGCCATTTTGTTTTTTTACACTTCTCTGGCTGCAGAAGGCGTTATGACTTTAGATATGGAAAACAAGCCTAATATTGTGCATTCAGTACAGATAATTGTCATTATACAAAATTATAAATTTGTCACGCAATGGGATGATATTTCTATTGTTGAACTGTATAACTTTAACCAAAGCTCTTTAATGAAGCTTTGAGATGATAGAAAACACAGTAGGAAACATTTTATCACAGACAAATTACCCTTCAGGATAAAAACAACAAAGGGAAGAATTGTCATGGGTGGGGGGATTAAATCATAAGCACTTTTTTGGGCATGACTGAGATGAGCAATTAGTATGTGATGGCTCATTATGTCCAGTAATAATATGTTACTTTAAACCCTTTGCCTTTTCCTGTTACTATCCAATGTGTTATTAATACACTAATATACACTACTTTGATGTATGGCATTTCTGTACTGTGTGACGTATGTAATGTTCCAGAAGAATAACTTAGCAAATACAAGATGTGTTTCATGAATACCTCTTCTGAATTAAAATTTCATACACGTCTTTTCCCCTCACCATAGAACAACATCAGAAAATTGAAAACAAAAAATATACTGTACAAACAAACCAGGAAGATGTCAATTATTGTCTGCCAGGAACATGAAATTATTGTCTCCTTTCTGGCTCTTCAGTGCAGTAGATCTGATTGTAGATAATCTCTTATTTCTGCACAGGTGAAGGGAAATAGGATAACACCTCTTTTGAAAACGATGGGAATCTGTTTAATGTTTCACACATTAAATGCCATGCATTTTCAAGCTTGTCTATCACATACTCAGAGAAGAGTGATTAGAGATGGCATCTCAAATCCCTTTTAATCTTTGATCTGTGCTTTTCTTTAACTACATTATCAGAATAATTTTACTCTTAACACTACCCAGTTCCCAGTTAGAAAATAAATGCTGCAGTCAGTTGGAATCCCCCCCCCTTTTTTTCTCTGAGTCCTGATGATGACATAAGATATTTGTATAGACAATCTAGCCACCTCAGAGATGACAACAATGCCTTTAAGGTTTTATTTTTACCCTTCTTTAATAAACAAGATTTTTCATGTTCCACCTTTCACTATCAGTAACTTTGAGAGGAACTTTGTGGATGTAGTTTTTAGATACAAAAAAATCTTTTCTGAAATGGAAACTTGTTCTATCCTCTATCTCATCCGCTTTGATGTTCCTACGCATGTATATATCGTGAGGCAAAACTGCTCTTTTGTGTTATAGGTCTTTAAGTTATGGTGCCATTGGAGTAATTGTTGGGCATGAGTTTACCCATGGATTTGATAATAATGGTGAGTAATTGTCCACATTTATATTGTTCTTACTTTTGGGTTTGTTGAATAGAAAAAAAAGATGCATTGGAGTAGCTTTATGTGTACATTTTTTCCAAGAATGATAAGATGCGTCAAGAGGACCATAAGATTGTAAAAAGAATGGTTTAGTTTTGCATGGATTCCTTCTAAAGTTGGGCCAAAAGGGATTTTTTGTGAGTGAGTATTTTCCCCCGGTCTGAAACAGAACAAAACCAAAAATAATAGAGACTATCCAATAAAATGAAATTCTGAAACAAAGATGTTTTGGGCTAACTGAAACATTTTATTTTGAAAAAATCAAAACCTTTTCATTCTGATTTTTGCTTTAAAAAATTAATTTACATAGTACAAAATTTTAAAAAGCAAAAAGTAATTTAAAAGTGGAAAATCAAAATGTTCCATTCAGAATGTTATCAACATTTTTTCATTTTTTCGTTTGGAACACATTTTCCTTTACATTGACATGCTTCTGCAAAATGTTTTGCTTTTGTGAAATTGGCATTTTCTGATGGAAAATAGTTCTATCAGAAAATTTCTGACCATCTCTAGTTCCTTCCACTGCTGCAATAGATATAACAATTAATAGACTTATGTCTTTATCTTCTCATTGTCAATTTGGTTATGTGATATAGAAGTCTGTAGAAAATTATGGCAACGTATAACACACAGTTTATGGCAGTGTATTGTAAGGTATTGATCTGACTGGTCTGTGGTTTGGACTGGCTGATTTCTCTCTGGGTACATCCACACTGCAATTAAAACACAGTGGCTGGTCAGTGCCAGCTGACTCTGGCTCGCAGGGCCCAGGCTAAGGAGCTGTTTAATTGCTGTGTAGACATTTGGGCATGGGCTGGAGCCTGGGCTCTGGGAAGCTGCAAGGTGGGAGGGTCCCAGAGCTCAGGCTGCAGCCTAAGCCCAAACGTCTACTCCACAGTTAAGCATCCCCTTAGCCAGAGCCCGAGTCAGCTGGCACGGGCCAGCCAAAGGTGTCTAATTGCGGTGTAGACATTTTTTGTCATGAGGCTTTAGACAAGTAAAAACTAGGAAGCAGGAAGTGTAGTATCCATTTTATAATATAGCAATGATGTGCCTGTTTGCAGAATCACAATTATATGGTCTGAGGATGAAAAATAACCACAATTAGATTTTACTGGAAAGTTCATATTTCTGTAATATTGTACAATTCTGAGCTATGTCATTGACCTCACTCGTGTGATAAAATTTGTTATAAAAATGGGAACTGAGACACTGGATGAAGTAGAGGCCCCACTGATAAAAATGGGAGCTTTGCCATTGACTTCAGTGGGGGCAGGATTTCATCCAGTGGCTAAATCCATTTTAAACAAAAATATAAAATAAAAATATAGGATGTGGCAAAAAAGAAGAAGCCATTGTTAGTCAAAAACTGATGACTAATCGTGTCACCCTTTTTGTCTCTAAACATCTTAATTTCAGTTGCTTTGATCCTTCTGAGTTCTGGAGTCTAATAATCTGCATGAAGAATAATTCAGAACAATTATGATTTTTATGCTGTTAAAATATAAGGAGTAAAGTATAAAGTAACAGGAGGTAGCCGTGTTAGTCTGTATCCACAAAAACAACAAGGAGTCCGGTGGCACCTTAAAGACTTATTTGGGCATAAGCTTTTGTGAGTAAAAAACCTCACTTCTTCAGAGCTTATGCCCAAATAAGTCTTTAAGGTGCCACAGGACTCCTTGTTGTTTTTACGCTGTTAAAGTAATTGTTCTCTGAAAAATGTAAAATCTTCCTCAAGAAGTCATATCCTTGTGTATACTCAGAGTCATATTTGAATACTTTAGTTACAAACTAAGTTTTTCTGCTTTTACTCTTATTCACACTGCACAGTCAAGGTAGTTTGGGGAGTGGGTGCTGGATTCCATTCTAGCTCACAGGTCATTACAAGAATTGTCTACTATGGTCTCACTGCAGTGTTAAATTCTGCCCTCAGTTACTCTTGTGAAATCCCTTATTCTCCAATTTCCAGCTATATACATTCATCCTGGGATCTGAGAGTCAAGCTGTGTTATTTACATCTTGTGCATCAACATTCGAAAAAGAATCTCTAGACTATATTCTCAGTCACATATGTGCAACCCCATTGGCTAGGATGGCTGCTGCAGAGTGATGTACAGGTGTTATCACGGTATAATAATGCCATTTTAGAGGAAGAAGCCAAAGCAGAGAATGTAACCTGAGTCTCTCTCAGAATAATTATATGCAAAACAAAGTACACAGCCACACTGTTAGGCAAACTACAAAGACTAAAACTACATACCATCTTGGGTTGAATCTTCCTTTTCCCTATTAAGTGAATGGTATGTCTAATACCAGGGGGAGGGATAGCTCAGTGGTTTGAGCATTGGCCTGCTAAACCCAGGGTTGTGAGTTCAATCCTTGAGGGGGCCATTTAGGGATCTGGGGCAAAAATTGGGGATTGGTCCTGCTTTGAGCAGGGGGTTGGACTAGATGACCTCCTGCGGTCCCTTCCAACCCTGATATTCTATGACTCTATGACTCTAATGTTGCATCTTTTTGAGATTCACTGACTGAGCGCCATTCGCTGGATGGCGTGACCACAGGAGTTGGGTTTCTGCAGTACTACCTTTAGCTGAGGGACAAGAATCAGAAAATCTAGTGAATTAAGCAGAATAAGCAAGTGTGGACAAACTGATGTGAAGCAATACATCCATTTTACTACTCTCACTTCTTGTATTTGTGTCCATGCTATGCTACAAATACTGCAAAAAGTATATTTTTCTCAAAAATGTCTTTTGTTTTTTAGGTCGTAAGTATGACAAGAATGGAAATTTAGACCCCTGGTGGTCCACTGAGTCTGAAGAAAAATTCAAAGAGAAGACAAAATGCATGATTAACCAGTACAATAATTATTATTGGAAGAGAGCTAGCCTAAATGTATGTAACATGCGAGTGGCTGGAGTCCCTGATAATTTACTTATTTTTTTCATGATTACTAACCTGTTGGAATGCTACAAGTGAATGGGCTATTCATAACAAATGCTTTGAGATGAATGTAGCTGTTTTTGTGTTCATGTACTATACATGAAGTGAGCACATTTGTTTAATTTAACTTGTTTGTCCAAGTATGAGCCAAAACAAATTACAACAACAACAGACTCTTTGTTGAGAGGGTTAAAGTGCTTCTCATAGTGAGGTCAACAGTGGAGGCAGTGTGAGTGGGTGAAGCCAAGCAGCAGGAGTAGTCCAACGGGGATGTATGTGTTAAATGCCCTCTGATGGTGGTGTCAGCACAGAACAGTGATTGGGACTGGCTAGTGGCAGCTACCATTTTTTTAAAAGAAGAAACTAATAATGGGTTTTAGATCCATTTAGCAACCCCACCCAATAAATCAGAAAATAAATTAACATTATAATGTGGAGACACAAGCTACAGCTTATTTCCCATTCAACTCTTGCTATTTTTTCCATGTACATGTGGACATGTTGCTGATCAAATGAATCAAATACTAAACAATCATTCACAGCAACTACAGGGTTGAAAAAAGAAATAGAAATAGAAATGAAATGTGTGTATTAGCTATCAGAAGCATGGGCTCCTCGGAATATGTGCGGGTTTAAACTTAAGTTTCTTGAATGGAGCATAAATAGGGACCCTGGGTGTGGAATTCTGGCCCCACTGATATAATTTGCAGAACTTCCGTTGACTTCTATGGGGCCAGGATTTTAACCTCATTTTTACAGTTAAATCCATATCCTTAAAACCCAATTTCTACTCCCTGTTTTCACATTTCAAAAACAGAATTAACTCACCTGCTCTTGCACCTCCTTACAATAAGTTGTTAAAGGTATTGTTAGTTGTTCATCAGCTGAGTGCTAATGATGATGTGCCACTGACCAATCAGCAATCCAATGGCTCAAGTTTGCAGTGCTGGATATCAGCCAATTTACAAATAAAATACCTCCAGCTGTTTGTTAAGCATCTCTGCTGCCACCATCATCACCACAAGAGAGGTATCACTTAAGACACAGAAGATGTTGTGGAGGAGCTGCTGGAACTCACCCACTCGTTCCATGCTGATGCTATTGGCCCATCCATCAGTCTTTTGCTTTCTGGAGGTCCTGACTGTGGTTAGGAGGATTTGGACCCTCCCCATCTGTGAAGTTGTAGGAACTGCTGCTAGTGCACAGTCATGTCATCTACAGGACTTCACTGAGGTGGAGATATTTAGTTCTTCCTTTCCTGTGAAGCATCATATTGCACTTTAAGATAGGTTCATTTTTGTTATGTTTCAGGGCGTGCACACACACACACACAGATAAAAATTTAAATTACCCCTTTTGAAACATTGGAATGTAAAACTACTTTATTTCTTAGAATTCAGAATGATACACACAAACCCACACACAGAGAGACAAAGCAGGCTGCTCCCTAAGGCAGAGGCACAACTCTCCCAACTTTGTTCTAGGCTAGCGTTTTCCTGACTAACTGCTGCTCCCAGATTACACACTTCCCTACAGAGTCCCCAAGCATGCAAGCAGGATCAGGAAACTCTTTCCCCCCCACTCATAAGATGAAAGTTTGCAATTCCAACAGTCTTCTATACACCACAATTTTGAACACCTTTTTGTGGGGAGGGGGAGGGAAATCTGATGTTTTCTCCTCTTTTATTGGAGCTTCTGTTTGAAAGGATGGACATCCAAAGATCTCTTTCTTTCCTATATATTTTACATCTTTAGCACTGATATGTTATGCAGTTTATCAATATGGGATCAGTTTACTTTTATCAGGTATCTTTTCCTCCCCAACTCCTTTTTCAATTTGAAATGAAAAGGTCTCCAAAAAGGTGCTTAATGAAAGAAGTAGATATGAAAATAGATATAGTTTCAGACTTTGCCAACACCAAAGAGCTCTGGAGTTAAGACATTCTCTTGTTCTCCCATCACTATCATCATCCCTTTTAGCCACAGCAGTTTTAGCGATCTGATCCAGAATCCATTGAAGTCAATGGAAAGACTCTCATTCTCTTCATGCATCCGAAGAGGTGGGTTGTAGCCCACGAAAGCTTATGCTCTAATAAATTTGTTAGTCTCTAAGGTGCCACAAGTACTCCTATTCTCTCCAAAGGCCTTTGACTAGACCATTGTGCCACTGATAAATTTGTCCTGTCCTAAATTTCAAACTGTTGCTTCATACCATGTTATCAGCTGTTGGTTTGGAATCATATTTTAATTAATTTGATTCTAAACTTGATCCTGTGGTTCTTAACATGCCTATTTTAGTATAAAAAGTTGGAGGAAAAAACTAATGAATTACCAGTACAATCTGATAACTCAAAAACCCTTATAGGTCTGGTGATAATAGATAGTGCTCTACTCCACAGAAAACGAGAGGTTCTTTCAAATGATATTAAATATTGTAATATCAGGATATTGGGTTTATCAGTATTTCGATGACACCGATTTTTGTAACATGATTTTTTTATGGTTGCTGGAAGCAATATTAGAAAAAAGAACTTGAACCTTCTTTCTAGATTTGTAAAAAGCATTTTGTACACTACCCTTTTCAATTCTCTCCTTGACATCTACTTTTAATTCTACTGTTTTATGTTATACTTTGATAGTTACTGTCACTCCAGTAGTAGATAGAGAAAGTTATGTGGAGAAATAAATGTAATTTGTCAAATAAGAAGAAAACTTTGCAAATTTCCAGATCTAACTAGAGCAGCACACACATGGATGGAAAAAATATTGATACTCAAATCAAATTTCACAGACCAGATTCTCAGATGCATTGTTTCTGCTTCATGAGTTCTAAACTTGAATCTAACCCTAGAGCCAGAGTAACTGGCCCCAGGAGAATACAGAGATGGTATGAGTATAGGTTTGATTTTTCGCATTGAAAAGCAATTGTCTTCATCAGAGCTATTCATTTACACTAGCTGAGGATCTGGCATATAACCTGTTTGATTTTTTCCTATCTGTATATATAGGTTGGCCTTGAAATGCAGTTTAGAAACAGATCAAATGAATTATGTTCTTCCTTTCTGCCAGGTAAAAGGGAAGAGGACTTTGGCAGAAAACATTGCAGACAATGGAGGTTTGCGAGAGGCTTTCAGGGTAGGTGTAAGATTCCCAGTGGTGATGCAAGAGCATGCGTACCAACCTCAGGGAGCAGACTGTTAAAAACCAGGGCACA